GAGAATGGTTTGAAGGTAAGGCTTGATCTTTGTTAGGTGTTACGACACGTTCTTCCACTGAACGTGAAGGTACAGTGTGAGTGTGATACAACGTTTGAGAAGTGATTATCGGATCCTTTAAATTTGATTCTTTAGCTTGCTTTTCTAAGTTAATAAGGAGATCAAGCCTTTCGTTTGCAGAAGCCAAAATGATGTGGTCGGAACGACCAGGTTCCGTGCTTTTAAATAACCGCTTAAAAATAAAAAAAAAAAATTTAATTCGTGTTTAAAGTTCGTTTATCAAAAAGAAGATACTAACCATATATAATTTTTTATAATAATGAATCCTTTTCAACGGAATGTCAAAAAAGTAATCCAATGATACTGGTTGATTGTTTTCAGCAGAAATATCCTAAAACAAACAATATCAAACAATATGAATTAGTTTAGTATTCGTGTACCGTAAATAGCTAATTAAAATGTCATTAGTTAACTACATTTAGAGTCTGCTGTAAAACCAAATTTTCTTCAATATCCTTCCTATAATCAAAACCTTGTCGATACTTTCGACAATAATTTGTGTATGGCTCTTCCATTTCATTCACCTATTTATTGAATGAAAAGATTGACATTAATAAGAAAAAAATTTTTTTTAATAAATTAAAAATAGAAATTTTTTTACCCAGGCCACCAACGTATTTCCAAATTCTTCTGCGGACTGAAGGGATGTACCAAGCTTTGCCAATTTCTGATAAAAAAAAAAGTCAATCAATAATATATGGTTTTAATTAAGTATGAAAGAAAAAAATTTACCCTTAATAGTTACCGAATGAAATTGTTTGTTCTGTTTATAAATGTCTTCGATAGCAAGGAACAGTGCATCCAATTCGGGCGGAGGAAGATCCTTAGAACTCCAACAGGATGTAACTCTCTGCATAAATGAAAGAAAACTCTTTAACGGATGACAACAACAATAGTAAAAGAGTTCGTATAAAAATATCACCAACCTTTAGCAAACATCTTAAATCACTTATGTATTTCTTTTCTGTTTCTATTAAATCAATTAAGGGATTAGCCCTTTTTCTTTCCGATGATTTATTCATGGACGGTTATGAAATTAGAAAAAAATATTTGCAACGATAAGAAAAAAAATAGAAATAGTCCAATCATAAGATAATAATTCGATCGATAGCAAGCTATTTTTTTATTTTTTATTTTTTCGGAAAAAAGGGCAGGATTAAAAGAGGTGAGAGCTACGGGGGTGAAATTTAAAAGAAAATTATGAGGGGGGTTGTTAAATAACAAACGAAAATTCGTTTATAAAAAAAAGATTGTAATGAAATTGCGATAAAATCGTAATAAATAAAAGAAAATCGATAAGTCGCAGACTTTTTGAAGTGGGAAAGATGTTTGCTGTCTGTTGAATAATAAGTCCTTAAGGAAATATATCGGTATATATTTACTGCAAGTGATATATTACATATAATGATTCATTGTATGCTAAGGCAGTCCATGCAAGCCCCGCATTTACCATAATATACAGCAACAACGGCAATTGGATACTTTTTAAGGTTAAAGACCAGATGAAATTATCATTAGTAATTTCTTTGTAATACTTATTGCTTCAGATCGATACATTTAGAAATTGATCGATATAAATGGACTAAACTGTTATCGTTATTTCTATATGGTATAGAACCAATAAGCAGCAGCATGATCGAATAATTAACATTTATTACGCAGTACTTTGTAAAAATAGTACGTACGTACGTACGTATAAAAATTTTGAATTTACAAGAAATTAACACACTGGTCTTATTTTTCGGCGAAATACTCTACGACAAGATATTGAAGCAAGATGTCATCTTAAATATTAATAACAACAAGCATGTGAAATAATATCGTCATGTACTACTTGATCGAATCCATTACTTGATTGAACTCATGATATTATCTTCCATTTGGAGTATTAAATTAATAAAATTTACTGTTTCCTTTTTCTTCTTTGTGCGACAAAAAAAGGTCTCCCTAGTAAGTCAATAACTAAACTGGATAATATATTAAATATTCTTGATTTATCTGTCATCGACCGCAAGTGCACACTTTCTATATGTTAAGAAGCTGGAAGAGGAGAAAAGTAGATGATAAATGGGGTAAGAAAAATCATTTAAACCTGCCTATATATATATATATATATATATAACATTTAAAACCTATATGACCTTAAGTACGTACGTACGTACGTACAAACTACAAAACAGCTTAAATATTATGCAAGTAACGTTCTAACATTAATTACTAGTTAATAGATAAAATTTGGTACGTACGTACGCACGTACGTACTGGTACATGGCTCTTTGATATTTTTGTAACCACCTAATAAAGGTTACACATATGGTCCTATTAAACCAATCAAGACAATACAGCAATAGAAAATAGATCATGTGCATGGATACATTCGGGATGAATAACGTCATCTAAAAGCTCTTACAAAGTATATTATGGTTTATTATTATTGTTTGACCAACGATGAAAACATCCAGAAGACAGATTAATATCCCGTTATATCGACTGTTTATTTTTAATAGATGACGTGAATTGTGATACATATTTATACTCAAAAACAAGAATCTTACGAGAATCTTAAGTTCAAAGGCGTGAAACCAATAACTATCTGTGCGACCGCTAAATAATCAATAAACTACGTACACATTGTACACATTGTAGATGCCTGCATTCGAGTAACATTAACTACTATTCCAGATAAGGTAATCCTCTTAATCACGAGAAAATTTTTCAATTAAAACAGGAATTATTGGTACTAATCTTGTTGATCTCGACGATCCTTGGCATTTTTAATGTTTTGCGTCTGTCAAGATAATTTAATGTCGCTCGATGAAACCTGCATGGTGGTCACGTAACAAATACTTACGAAACCGCAAGAAGCTTTGGGTTACAAAACGTAAGATTTATATAAAGTAAATAATAGCGTGTATACCTTTGAATCTTCTTTTTTTCTTTTCTTTTTAAAAAACGAATTCTTTTTTGTTCATATTGGACTATTCATATTGGGCCTTCCAAATAAACAATTTATGCGATAAAAAAGCAAATATTCAGCTTCCTTTTATTAAATTGCATACATATCAAAACAAAAAATATTATTTCTCGCTCTCTATACATTCTTTGGTTCTTTTATCAATTTTACTTTTACTTTTTTGCAATCTTTATAATGGAATTAACAATGAATCCACAAACAGAACAGAAAGTTGATTCTTCTCAACTAGCTCGTCGTCGAAAAATATTTGGCACGTGTAAAGGTTGTTCTCAACCAAACACAAATTTTAATGAATGCGATGCGTGCGAAGCTTGGGTGAAACAACAACAAATAAAATTATTGGAGTTACAAAACGAAATAAATGATCGTAAGAATCGTATAAATCAGCAAACTTGTAATAATTGTGATCAACCAAAACATGTTCATCATCACATTGCTGCTTGTGGTGAATGCGGCTATCCAGAAATGAAGATTGAAGATTTGTATGAATTTGCTATCTGTAAAGATGAAGAAGATATTGATGATGAGGAAGATGGGTGTGGAATTAAAATATCTGATTTGTCGTGTCCTAGATGTGATTCACGTTTGCAAGGTTTCCTTCAGTGTCCTGATTATACGGAAGTGGTTGAAAGAATAAGATTAGAATTGAATGAAATGAAATATGATGACCCTGATTATAGAAAGTTGGTAGACGTTAAAGAGGTATCTATTATATTTAAATACATATATTACGATACGGCAATAATTGAGATTTCTGTTTACGTTTCTAATTTTTGATGTTTCTCTCTCTCAGCGCTACGATAACCTCGTCCAACAACAACAGGATGAGGAAGATCAGTGGGTTACAGACGAAGATGATGATGAACATGATGATTATAATGAAATATATTATGGAAAATCGTTTGTAGAAATGAGTCCAAATGTTGATCGAAATATTAAAATGTCGCAAATTGGTTTAAATTCTTTGTTACGTTCTTCTGCCATGAAAGTTCAATTTTAAATGCTTTATCATTAATGGCTTCTTTTTTTTTTTATGTGTATATTTATTTATTCATTTATTTATTATAGTCATTATCTTGCTAATTATGTTTAATATGAATCTTTAGTAAGCCTTGTTAGTATATATTATGATTTCATAATGAAGATTCCATAATTTATGATAACCTTTGTGTAAAATTAATTATTATTAAAAAAAAATTAACATTGTCATTATAGAGTCATTAGATATCAATCATGTGAATAAATTATTTTAATTATAGGGGCGTTAATGGTTCTTTGAACAAATAAGAAAGTTGATTTGATTGGCCTGTTCTAATTTAAGATATTTATTACAGCGCTTTTCAAATTACTGTGACCAGCAAATTCCACGTATCACACCGGAAATCAAAAATATTGAAAAAATGCCAATCTATGATTGGTTAAAAAATTATTAGAATAATTTTTAGCCAATCATAGATTGGCATTTTTTCAAGATTCCTGATTTCCGGTGTGATACGTGGAATTTGCTGGTCACAGTAATTTGAAAAGCGCTGTAAATAAAAGAATAATTGGTGTTAAATTTTGAATATCAAATTACCTCATTTTTCATAATATTATATGAGCATCACCGATCGTTGTGAGACAATACATTTATAGTAATTGTTTTTTTTTGTTTTTGCACAAGACTGTAAATTCAAATCTTAAATCATACGTTATAGTTATTGCCCGCGAAGCGGGCAATAACTGATTTATTCCCCGGTTCAATTATACTTCCATACTATTTCTTTAATAAAAGTGACGCAATTGATTAAGTGATTTAAATACAAAAAAAAATTTTTGATTAAAAAAAAATTCTTTCCCAATGTCTTCATTAAATAATTCGACTCATGAAATATTAGAACGTAATACATCTAATGAACCTAATAACATAACTGAAGATAATATTCAACGTTATATTAAAAATTCTAAAATTAAAAATACTGATGCCTGTACACAAAAATGGGTTCGAAGTTTACAAGAGTATCGTAACAAAAAAAACATTTCTTATGATATTTAAACACTTAATGATAAAAATCAGCTAGAACAAGAATTGTGTAAATTCTTTGCAGATATGAAATGTCAAGATGGAAAACCATATAAACCAGAATCAATTGTATCTGCTTATACCTCACTTCGTCGTTACTTATTTGAAGGATCTGCAATCAAGAATATAAATATCAATGATAGATTTCAATTTCCTATATTATATCGTGTTGTAGATGGAAAAATTATGGAATTACAAGATCAAGGTTTAGGTGAAATTGATCAGTCAAAAGGTTTAACTACAGAAGAAATTTGTCAGATCTTATCATATCTTAAATCTGGTGAACAATCAGCATTAAACTTACTTGAAAAGTTTTTTTCTGGAATGCATACTTGCTTGGACTTCGTGGTGGTTATCATTATCGACTTTTATTAAATTGTTTTGATTTTCAACCTGATGGAAATTTGATTTTTATGATTGGACGTGAGAAAAATAATCAAGGTGGATTAAAGGGTCGAAGCAAGTATGGAAGATTTACTAGTCGTCGCATTCATATTCCTGCTGATCAATCTGATAATGAATTCAAGCCAATTCAAGATCTTTGTAATTATATTAATTTACGTCCATCAGATGCATGTGAATACTTTTACTTGCAATTAACAAGAAATATTCAAAAAATTAATAATAGAAGCTGGTTTAGTAATGCTAGATTAGGAAAAAATACCTTAGATAATATGATGAAAGAAATTGCATGGGTTTCAGGTATTAATGTTGATGACCAAAGAATTACTAATCATTCAGGCAGAAGAACTGCAATTCAACTCTTATCAGATCTTAATGTCAATGAGCATGAAATGATGCAATTTTCAGGACATCGCTCAACTAATGGATTACGTACTTATAAAAATCCTAATGATAAACAACAGCTTAAAAACTCTACTTTGCTACTTAATGCAATTCAAGAACCTCCAATTGTACAATAATCTCCAATTATGCATCAAGAAGAATTTCAAGTTATGCAACATGAAGAGTTCCAAATTACACAACAAGAAGTTCAAGTCATACAACATAAGGAATTTCAAACTACACAGCATATCACACAAGATAATTCTTCGGTCATGCAACAAGAAGTTAATGCCACTAATATACAGATTAAATCACAGGTTTCACATTGAATTATTCATAAAAAAAAAACCAAAACTTACATATGAAGAAATTCAAGCAAAGTTAAACAAGCCATTTCGAATTCCATTCAAAAATGTTCAAGACCAAACGCAACATATTGAAATGACAAAAGATGGGATTACCAATATTTTCGAGTTTCATAATTCTGGAAATGTTAAAATTGTATTTAAGTAGTAGAATTAAATTAATATTATGTAATTGCGACAAATGTATTAACGATAAATAAATAATTGCAATTTAAAGAATTTTATGCTTTGACCTAAATAAATTGATAAATTGGTCTGGTCTAGAGAATTTTAAATGGTTATAGTTAAAAAAAAAAAGACTTTAAAACCCGGATCAGTCTGAGATCCGGGCAATAAATGTGAAGAAATAGTATGGAAGTATAAATATGAACCGTGGAATAAATAATTTATCACTATCACTATTAACATTAGCGTTAATCTGGCTAACTCAGATGGGTCTCTATCATTTTCTGGCAAAAATTGACCGAAACTAACACTAACCCTATCTTAATGCGGGCTAACTTGTTGGGATTTTGGATTTTGACTAGGGTTGAAAATTACATTTTACAATCTTAAATTTTCATGCAATTTTGTGTAATTTTGTGAGTTTAAAACCTTTTTGCTAATTATATGGAAACCGTTTTACAAAAACTTACACAAAATTACGCAAAATTACGTAAAATTACAACTCTAATTTTGAGAAAGTGGTCGTCAAAAAAATGATAGAAGCCGAACTCAGATAGATCCGATAGTCAGTTTAAATCCATGTACGTACGTTAATTTTTAAAGAATAGACCCATAAGTCATTATTAGAGATAGGATGCTGTGCAGACGAGATTTTCGAAAGGTCGGACCATAGTGATCCGAATCGTTTAGTTGAAAATCAACTAGTTGACAATTTTCCAACTAATCGATTTAGAAAAATTTAAAACAACTAATCGATTTAATTATCAACTACCATAAAATACAGACGTAGGTACCCCGGGTATTTTCATTACTCGATTTTGTACCCGGGGTACCTCACTAGAGGGGTATACCATATTAATAGGAGTACGTAAGTTGAGACAAGTAGTTGAATGAACTTCTATTTTAATATAAATACTGCCAAGAAAAAATTAGAATCAAGTTTTTGTGATGCCATTCACATGTTTGAGGTTATAAGCTGTATAATGTTACGACCAAGGGAGAGACTTTATACCTTCGTTGCCAATTTAGTTACTGGGCCATAAGCATTAAAGTAATAAAGAGCAATTTATTATATTAATTATTGATCGGGTTAATCAAAGTGCAATACAAGAATAAAGAACCCAAGCAAAAATCCAAAAAAGAATTTTTATTAGACTCATTTTACAGCAGAGACCGTTAATATTACACATATATTAAAATTAGTGAGGGATTATATCCATCACAATTGAATCTAACATAAATAATTTAATTTGTGATTAATCACAGGCGAGAGGGATTTACTTTGGATCGGGCACTGTCTCTGCTGTTTGACTTATTTAGGTGCACAAATTATTACAAAAAAGTGAGGCAATGGATACGATAGTTTAAAAAAATAAAATAAAGCTTGTTACGACATTATGTTATAACAATAATCAAGCTTCTATGATGCCATTCACATGATTGAGACTATCATTAGTAAGCGATAAAAATTCTTTTATATATATATAGATCACCTGTTTTTTACAAAAAAAAATTTTTTTTAAAATGTTTCTTTGAAACTTTCTTTACTCAAAGTTTTTGAATTTGCCACCAGGATTTTTTTTTTCTGAATTTATTGTAATGGATATAAGCTGTTTGAAGACATGCACAATTACCTTGAGCAAGACTCAGCTCTAGATTTACCTAACGGCTCGGTAATTGTGTTTGAACTTTTTTTCCTCAAAGTTTTTGAATTTGCCATCAGGATTTTTTTTTTACTAAATTTATTGTAATGGATGTGAGCTATTTGAAGGCATGCACAATTACCTTGAGCAGGACTCGGCTCTAGGTTTACCTAATGGCTCGGTAATTGTGTTTGGACTTTTTTCCCTAAAAGCTTTTGAATTTGCCAGCAGGATTTTTTTTTCTTGAATTTATTGCCATGGTTGAGTGTTAAAAGGTAAAGTGCAGCATTTAAAAGATCTTGTTTTTTGCTTTGCTAGTCACGCACTTGTTTAGGTTCAATGTTAAATCGTTTTGCGGTTGCTCTTACATTTTGAATATATTCAAAATAATGAACTACCATAAGCTTTTCGCAAACACTCCAGTTATGACGAGTCTTCTTATAAATACAGTTTTTTTTAAGATACTTCTACTTCATAGAGACTTTTTTTTTTTAATGTGTTTAGAAAATCTCGTATTTTTTTAAGCTTTATATAGGGAGAAAATAGGAAGAACATTGTACAACATTTATAGTAATATTTTGAAGAATTTCATATTCAAAAAAAAAAGTTCAACCCAAATTACCGAGCTGTTAGAGTACAACCCTAGAGCCGATGTCTTGCTCAAAATAACTAGGCACACCTTCAAACAGTTTATAACAATAATTTTTTAAAAAAAAAACTTGAGAAAAAAAATCTAACTCCAATTACCAAACCGTTAGAGTAACTCTAGAGCCGATGTCTTGCTCAAAGTAATTGGGTATGCCTTCAAACAGTTTACATCCATGACAATAAATTCAAGAAAAAAAAATCCTGCTGGCAAATTCAAAAGCTTTTAGGGAAAAAAGTCC